GGCCACTGGGTCAGGGGCAGTGACTGCTGGCTCTGGACTGGCAGGCTTGGAGCTGGCACAGGGCCTGTGGCAAGGGTCTACCCCTTTAATGTCTCCGGGGTTGGGGGAGAGGAGAATAAGTTTTCCTGGCTGTGCCCAGAGTGGCCACTAGGGCTCTCTGGGAAGAGCTGGAGACCCCCTATTTTGAATTAAGTGTCTACACAGCACTTAATTTGAAATAGCTATTTCGAATTTGGCATTACTCCTTGTAGAATGCAGTTTACCAAATTCGAAATAAGGGCTCCGCTATTTTGAATTTATTTCAAAATAGCGGTTTGCCTGTGTAGATGCTATTAAAGTTAATTTGAAATAACTGCTGTTATTTCGAATTAACTTTGTAGTATAGACATACCCTGAGCTCCTTGGAAGCTCCACAAACCTGCCGTCCCTTGGTCAGCTGCTCCCCGCTGCAATCAGCCTGTTCCGGGGGCTCAGTGGGATCCTGCATGTAGCCGTAAGTCAGGGGCATTGTCATGAATCCTCACTCACCCGCCCTCTACTCCCCTTCCTGTCCCTTCTTTCCCCACCCCTCCCCCAGTCATCCCCTTCAGACTCCCTCCTCTCCTTCCTGCTCCAGAGCCTCACACTGATCCCTTCTGACCCCCTTTGGTCACCCCTCTCCTCTATCCCCTTGCCAGACGCCCTCCTCCCCTTATCCGCTCTGCTCACCCAGCTTCAACTCCCTGCAGCCCCACCCGTCCATCCTGCCCCCCATTCCATCCCCTTTCTTCTTCCTCTCTCTCCTATTTCGAATTAACTTTGTAGTGTAGACATACCCTGAGCTCCTTGGAAGCTCCACAAACCTGCCGTCCCTTGGTCAGCTGCTCCCCGCTGCAATCAGCCTGTTCCGGGGGCTCAGTGGGATCCTGCATGTAGCCGTAAGTCAGGGGCATTGTCATGAGCCCCTCACTCACCCGCCCTCTACTCCCCTTCCTGTCCCTTCTTTCCCCACCCCTCCCCCAGTCATCCCCTTCAGACTCCCTCCTCTCCTTCCTGCTCCAGAGCCTCACACTGATCCCTTCTGACCCCCTTTGGTCACCCCTCTCCTCTATCCCCTTGCCAGACGCCCTCCTCCCCTTATCCGCTCTGCTCACCCAGCTTCAACTCCCTGCAGCCCCACCCGTCCATCCTGCCCCCCATTCCAGACCCTTCCTTCTTCCTCTCTCTCCTCCCTGGCTTCTGCTCCAGTCGCCCCTCTTCCCTCTTTGCTAACCCCACTGCAGACCCCCCCCATTACTGCCTCATTCTCCAACCACCCCTCCCCTCTCCTTCCTTAGCCCCCACCCACCTTTACCCACCTCAGGGCCCCTTGCAATGCCCTCTCCTCTTTCTCTCCCCCCTTCCCTCCTAAGCCCTGCTCCAGAAGCCCACCGGAGAGATCTCTCTCCACTTCCCCAGTCTCCTCTTACCATTCCCTCCCCTTTATTCCCTCATGTGTTCCCCTCCCAGTCTCCCTGGGTACGTCTACACTACAACGCTAGTTCGAACTAACTTAGTTCGAATTAGTTAATTCGAACTAAGCTAATTCGAACTAACGCGTCTAGAACTAAAAACTAGTTCGAATTAGCGTTTTGCTAATTCGAACTAGCAAGTCCACATTGAGTGGACTCTGAACAGGGCTTAAGGATGGCCGGAAGCAGTGCCGGCAGGGCATAAAAGGAGGACTTAGAGCATGGAGATGCTGTCTCAGGCTAGCCGAGGGCTGCGCTTAAAGGGTCCCGACCCACACCCCGGACAGA